GGGACTCCGAGCGGTACCTTCATATCCATAAAGAAAACAAAAATTGACGGAAGCATTCTTTGTGAGTATAGGCAGCTAGTGGTTTGAAATTCAATCCTTTTGCAAAGGAATTACATGCTCAGATTTAAATACGGAGATGAACTTTTTACTGGAGTTATATATATATATATATATATATATATATAATGCAGTTAATAAATATAAATGTAATTCAATCGCCTTGCTTACGTGTGCCCAAATGTGAAACTGTCTACGTACAACTGCTCTTAACACGCCTTTTGCTTTGATAGGATTACTTACATTAACTGCAACTAGTTTTTTCAGTCATATACTTGCATTAATTGGTCAGTGGAGAACAGCCGATTTCATTTTACATAGTCCTGAGTGCTGACCGAAGTCTATCAATCATTTTGCATTGTGTTCACCAAGTTAGAAGGCTCACCACTGTGATGCACCTTTGATGCATGTTAGTTTGTTGGAAGCAATTGTGAGGAAGTCCTGGACATAGGTTTCGTGCTTTTCGGCACTCATCAGCAACCTCGACAGAAGTGGTAACCTCTGCGAGATTTGACCCCATGTCACCTAGTGCTGTAGTCAGCGACGCTGCGACTGGGCAGTTTGTTTGTATACCACAAGAAAAACTTACTATTTTACAGCGAAAAACATATTTTAAACCATTTCATAAGTTTCAAATGAAAAACACTTTGCTTTAAACCACTGAAGCCCTTCTGACTTATCTCTCCCTTTTTACGGAATACTAAGGTCGAGATATAGAAATGTATCAAATCAACCAAGACTTAGAACACAGCAAGAAAAACACTTATAAATGCTTCCCAAGTAATTGGCTAAAAAATGCAAAATTAACATGTAGATCCATTTTTGAGACACTCGAAAATACCCTAATCTTAAACATCAGAAGCCTATCTTACTGTGCAACTCCTCTAAATTCTATCTAGTAAGAAATGGTCATGTGAAAATATAAAGGATTTGCTAAGTTTTGAGTTATAATGAGCTTATGAAGTATCAGTTGACTGCAATCCACCAAACTGGTATTAAGTAGCTTGTTCAGTCTCAGGTGAAATTTTGTTTGTGTATTGATAGAAAAACCTGGGAAAACTTTCCATTACTTTCTATGCGTTTACCTGTTATCCCACTGGCATTGAACTGTGATTCAAATTATCCTGAAAATCAATTAATATACTTTTAACTATTAGGCTTACAAGTGACCTCAGAGTCTGATAAAGTAAGCAATGCAGATGCATTGTCTACCTACACAAGCTTAGACGAAAGATGTCAGGCTATCACTTTCTGCTCATAACGCAATTCACTACACAATTAAAACTGTCACCTACTCATGTGTAGGAACATGTTACAAGTGACTGATGACTTATTCATACAATTACTTTAAAATTTACCCTTTAATGATGATCAAACGTTGGGTTAATTTGTTGTGGTTCTATTTGTTCGCAGACATTCTTCTGAAGGAAATATAATACCAAGTTGTCTAATTCCAAAAGTTAACTTCAGATGTAATCTTATGGCAACTAATTTTAGTAACTTAACTGTTGAACAAGAGGTGCCCGCCGTGTCTCAGCGGTCTACCAAACAACGCTCTGGCGTTTGAAGCGATGAGTTCTGGGACCAAGTCATCCAATGGGGCGGAGGTACACTCAGCTGATGAGTCCCAAACATGACAAAATGCGCGTCACGGTCCCACTGTTGGTTAGCAAGTAAACTATTCTATAGAATATTGTTTGGATTTTATTCTTGCAGTGATGACTTCAAAATTAGTTTATCGATTGTATCAACCCAGACCTGAGTGTTTTCTGTTAAGAAAACGATGAACATTATACAATGATTATACCACTAAATCAAGAAATAAGACCAGAGGATTTGATACAGTAAAAACTAGTCATTCACTTACAGAATGCATTGGAGCTGAAACTAAGTTCATCTAATAATATCTGGTAATTAAATGAAAGCCTAGATTTCTCTTCAAAGACTTCAAATCTATAATTTGCACGAGAATTTTACCACAGTAGTAATTTACAATAATCAAAACAACTGGCAATAATTAACCATGAATAATTAAGTGTATGCGGTTAAATTCATTGTCTGTCGTCTGCGTATTCCCTTCTTCCCTTCCGCATACCCTTACGACCCAATCAATTACAACATCTTTGGATGCAATCAGTCGTATAATCCTCAATTATTGGTTATCATATAACGTGATCAGCCGATCCAAGTGCTCACTGGAGCGTATTGCATAATTCTTGCACGTGGTTCTTCTTTCTTCATCATCATCACCCCGTTTTATTCATCTCCTTAATGCATTTTACGTTCCATTCCCGCCCACATAATCATTAACACGCAAATATAAGCAAACATGAGGTGATTAGGCAACATAATTACTAAAGGAATTCATTTCTGTCATTAGCAATCATATTTCATTCCTTTGGATAGGAAAGACACACACAACCTTACATCGACTGCTTTTTGGTTTAACCATTAGGCGATGTTTTGTGGTGCATCAATGAGAGTCTCTTTTCGATATTTTCATTTTAAACTATTTAATCTTCATAAAATGAGACATCTTATCCTGTTCAACTCTTTTAACTAGACATTAGTTGTAAAGAAGACGGAAACATTTGATCAGTTTAGTCTTAGCATCTTCAGGGGCGTCTGAAATTCAGATCATATTTCATAAACAAGATTTTTGTATATCAGCCCTCATTTTACAATGAACTGATATTTTCTTCAAAAGAAATAACACATATATTACCAGCATCTATCTAAATATTGTGCTGTTGTCTCTTCCTTACATTAATCGCACATATTATTATTGGTAGTAGTAGTAGTATAATATGCGGGACACAGACATCCTGTGTCAGTTTCATTTGAGGAAGGAGTTCATCTTCACTTAGTTATTAATTTTCGTTTAATATTAAAAATTAGGAAACAAGTGTACGATGATTCTGTGAACTTATTCAGAATTTCTCACTGGTATAGGTCTTTCTGCTGTCGTATCACTGGATAGGAAAGGATCTTCTATCCTGAAATGTCTGTTTCACAAAGGCCATTAGAAAGGCAGTTTAGTTAGTTGGATGGGGCAATCGGCATGAAGTCGGTTACCCTCTAGTGACCAATCTATGAAAGGTAGTTCACTTGAAAATACACATATTGACAACCTGGACGTCTGGGGAACGGAAAAATCTAAGTGGTATTCTTTGTAAGCGTACAACGTCATCATGTGCTTTCTCTTAGCTTTCACAGACATCATTATATATATTCAACATCTTTAGCCATTGGGATGGGATTTTTTAGCTGCATTTCAGAAGCATAACAGTTAAATCGTACCTCCGGAAAATATGCTCAGGCATAGGGTCATCTGGTATGCGCATGTATGTGTGGTATATAGTAGTAACAGTCAAAACAGCAGCAATGGTAGGCCATTCAAGGGTTGCATATCAGGCAAATTACATTCACTACTGATAAAATATCAAAACGCTTTTATAAATGCTGCTTTTGCGTAAATCATGTTTCAGAATAGTTGAATTTCTGCTTTACCTACCAAGTCGTTTCGACCTAACAAATTTAAAGAATACAACAGGTGTTCTTAGGAAATGTATTCTTGCTAATTCTATAATTTATATCTTCCTATTGTGAAGCCTAAATCTTCTTAATCTAAAATATATAAAGCTTACAGAACATCAAGGTAATGAGATTCTGAATATGAGTGAGACTGTGTTAGATATTCACTGTTTGATAGATTGGTTTTGTTGCTACTGGGCGATTATTAAAAATGAAATCAAAGTCTAAGTCACTCAGCTGTCACGTGAATCCGTGGTGCATAAATATCTATTCTTAGTAATCTCACTGTCTACCCAGCTAGGACTTCTTACCCAAATCCGAATAAAGTTGAATGAAATAAAGAAAGTGTCCTAGAGATCATGAGTGAGGCTATCTGCAAAGACCAGGTCAGGCAGCCAGTGGATCTTAATGAACGGATAGTAACATACCGCCGATTCTCATGGCAGCTGGGCCAAAACCTTGGTGAGTGAAATGAATTTTAGACCTGATTAGTAGTTGAATTGTGTAGCTCAGTTGGTAGGTGAGTAACCAAGAGGCAGTCGGTTTGGAATCATGCTATTAGAGAAGTTCCCGTTTCAATTTCTGAATAGTTTGGTTAAGTGCAAGAACATACTTTTATGACTTATCAAAGTGATGAAATTTGAAATTTTTCGTACTCTGTAGGTCAGTAGTACTTTTGTAATTTCTTAGATTTCATCAAGCTTTTGATCACAAATTAAAGATCGAACAAGACGTGGGTAGTGAGGCATGGTAATTCATCGTGACCGTGGTGGCCTTTCAAGGACACACGAGATCAATAAGTTCCATATGTGGACTAAATAAGTGGCATCCGGTAGACTTCAGCCTATAAAAGCGCATAGAAGAGCTAACTTATGCCTACTGGGGACAGTATTCACTACCCACTACCCTTCATATTACACTTGGTCGACTATTTGTTGCCTGAAAGTCAGATATAATTATTTTACCTAGGTCACACTTTTGTAATACACGCGGTTACTTGCTCTGATGGATGTTCTAGGTTTTGGCTCACGTTCTTGAGTTGAGTTTGCAGATTATTTCATAATGTTAGTTTCTATGCAGCTTAACCTTTTGATTTCACTCATTTAGACCATCAGCCGATAACAGGGAATCAACAGTAACAAAAGCGTTAGGTAAGTAGATACGTTCAGCTATGCAGTCTAGACAGAATACACCTGACACAGGTATCGGTATAGTATATAGACAGCTAGAACAAAATTCAACAGTTTGACCAGCATGATAATTGTATGACAAAGATTTCACCACGGGAAAATTATGCATCTCTCATACAACTAAATGTTTTCATGATAATGATGAATAGTGGCTAGCAACGGAATCCAGGACGCACGTTTCGTCCTATTTGGGACTCGTCAGTTGGGTGTATCCACCTTCCAGTTAGTGGTGTTCCTGCTGAGGCTGGAACAACATCACTCACTTAAAGGTGGGTACATCCAGCTGGAGAGTCCCAAATAGGAAGAAATGTGCGTCCTGGATCTAACTGCTAGCCATTATCCATCATTAATGCTAAAACTGAAAATACCGGCAATATCGAAGCATCCATATAGGAGCCCATATTTAAATAGTGGCCGATCACTTCAGTCTAATCAACAACGGAGACTTACAGAGCATAGCAACAAAACTAAATATTTTCATACCACAAAAAAGCACTTGGTCCTGGTACCATCAGTTTTCAACACTTCCTCACTTGAAACACAGTTAAGTGTGTCGATCAACAAAACAGGGGCGGCTTATTTTCTGCAAATGACTGAAATGCATCAACAATAATATACCTAAATGATAAGATTAAAAAAATGAAAGGTGAATATTTTCATTTTAGTTTTGTATGAGGTATAGCAACAAGTTTGCTCATCGTAACTAATTAATTGATATTATTTTTTAATCACTTTTCAGAACAGTTTTTGTCACTAAGGCTTGAAGTTGCAAGGAGTAAATGAGACTGGAACAGGGCAATGTATGAATGGTTGTTTTTTTCTCTCATTAGAGTTAATTAATTGTTTGCTAGTGGATCAGACAAAAGTATTTATCATACCACATTAGTGACAAGTGTCATGTAAAACAGAGAGTTATGCGTTAAAAATGACGAAGGTATATAGCATCTTATCTAATGAACATGATTAATTATTGACCAGAATGAATTCTCAAAATCCGTATGCAACTGTGAGAATCAACAGTGAAACCTTATGAAAAACATATGGCTGATATTCCTACAACTTGTCGTGATACAAATTAAAGATAAGTGCCAAAATGGAGTCTAAATGAAATTCTTCGATATCTAACTGGATACTGACTAGTCAGCAATAGATTGTTAAACTATCAAACACTGGGTTGTGTATCTTTTCAGATAGTTTCAAGATGCATACCGACAGGGTTCGCAAATAATTTCTGACGGTGAGCTGAGAAGAACGACGAAGCAATAGTACGGTTCCCCTTGATTTTATTAATTATTTCAAACGACTTCCTCCCAATCTGCTAAATGGTATATTATTTTATCGGCGCCAAAGACTGCTAGCAGAAGAGGAGTATAGTCTATGAAGCCATCCCTTTCAGTCATCACTCAGTATCATTACTAGTCTACCAAACCACGGCTATCTCAGATAGTCAAAATGATAATCAACATGATGCTTTTTCTCTCTAATTCAGTTAGATTTCTACTGGATGAGAAGTTCTGACTAGGCAGCTATTGTGAGTACGATCAAGCGGTAGTAGCGCCTCATGAGTTCACATGGTAGTCGGGCAAACTCTTTGGAGATTGAAGTGAAATAAAAATCTGATCAGTAATCAGGTCTCGTAACTCAGTTGATAGAACACCGGGACGGAAACCCGGTGGTCACTGGTTCGAATCCGGTCACGGTTCAAATTTTTATTTCCCCTTCAACCACCACCTGGTATTAAATATTTAAAAAGAATAAGTGGTAATGCAGCAGATATACAATACAACGATTGAACGAACGAAACATTGGAAAAACAAGTATAGAAATGGACACAAAATGTTGGGTTTCACAAAGTCTCCCCAATAGCCTATCTGAATAAGTCACTTTTTTCATTGAATTAAACTGAAGTATGTTCGATTTTGAAGAAGACATGTCATTTCCCCTGACAATGTTTCATTGTGAAGCCTGTGAACAACTAATTTTCGATACACACTATTGAATCGATAGAAGTGTTCACCACTTAAATATCCAAACCACACAAATCTCAGGTGCTCATGTAAACTGGAAAGATTCGATAAACTAGCCACTAGGCCAGCAATTCGCTAAACTAATAAAAGTTGTCGATTCCGGATATTTATTACTCAATATGTGGGTATTCATTTGTTTTGATGAAAAAACAAGCTCTGGTTTCGATTCAGGATGTTTTAATGTCAATTTCAAAGCTGACACATCAGTGAAACTGTATTATGATGCTGAAGCCTATAGTTTCTCATTGCAGATCGGGCTGGTCACTTCGACCCAATAAAGGACGGGAAACAACAAGTTCTAACTTTAAACTCAACACGTCGAACAAGTAGTTGTCGTGATTCAGTGGCTTAGTGGATAACGCTCCGGTGTTTGAAGTGGTGAGTGCTAAATTCAAGTTTCGACGGAGAGGAAATCACTCGCTGGGGATGGGTACATCTGACTGGTAAATCCCATGTGAGGAAAAAACGCGCATCCCAGATTCCGCAGCTAGTCAGTGTCTATCATTATTATTGGAACTTCATAAACTTTTCTGTGTATTAACTCCACTGACCACCTAGTCAAAAACCCACACGCTTGAGGTAGTTCTACCTCTCTTGAAATCCCTTTTAACCTCGCCTGGTTAACTAGTTTACTAGTTACTAGCCGGTCCTAAGCCCGGGTAAAGAGGGAAGGTTGGGCATAGGGCTAGCAACCCTACCCCGTAAAACAAATCTAACCGCTAAAGAAACTTCAAAGCACAAACAAAATATAAAAAATGAAAACAAACTTATTCCCCGCTGGAATCGGAGAGGCGAAATGACGCCAGTTGGTGAAAGCCTTCGGGAAGCCAATTGGCCGATGTGTCTTCTCTCGATGAAAGCGAAAGTAAACGTGGGGACATGGAATGTCCGCACGATGTTTGAACCCAGTAAGGCAGCCCAGATTGCAAAGGAGATGAGAAGGTATAACATCGAAGTGCTTGGGATTTGCGAAAGCAGATGGAATGGGAGTGGACTCTCCAAACTGTCAACTGGAGAATCAATAATCTACTCCGGTCACCCAGACGCCAACCACGAGCACACTGAGGGAGTGGCTATCATGATGTCCTCAAGAGCATCGAAGGCTCTCATGCAGTGGGAACCAATCTCCTCCAGGATCATGACAGCAAGATTCAACTCAAAAGGAAGAAAGGTCACAATCATACAATGTTATGCACCTACAAATAATGCAGAGCAAGAGAAAAAGGAGGATTTCTACAGACAACTTCAATCAACACTGGACAAGACGTCAGTTGGCGATATCAAAATTCTAATGGGCGACATGAATGCCAAACTGGGAGGGGACAACACGGGAAGAGAACTAACCATGGGTCGAGAGGCGCTAGGTGAAATGAATGAGAATGGAGAATTGTTTGCAGAATTCTGCGCATTCAACGATTTGGTGATTGGAGGCAGTGTGTTCAGGCACAAGGATATCCACAAAGCGACATGGACTTCACCAGATGGACACACTAAAAATCAAATCGACTTTATCTCAATCTCAAGAAAATGGAGACGCAGTCTACTTAACACAAGGTCAAGAAGAGGAGCAGATGTAGGTTCAGACCACTATCTAGTGCAAGGAACCTTCCAAATCAAGTTAAAAGCCTTCAAGGAAGCTGGTGATAGACCTCAATTCAAGTACAACACTCGGAAACTGAAGGATGAAACTACAAAGGAGATCTTCAAAGCAGCCATCAAGACAAAATGGGAGACGTCGAGGGACATCCCTGAAGAAACCTGTGTGGAAGAACACTGGAAGTCTTTGAAAGCTATGTGGAAAGAAACCTGCACAACAGTATTAGGAAGGAAGAAGAAAGAAGACAAGGAATGGATCTCGACGGATACCTGGAAGCTGATAGAGGAGAGGAGGATGGTGAAGCAGAAGATAAACCAGTGCAAGGATGCTCAACGACAAGAGGAACTGAGCACAATGTATAAAACACTGGATAAAGAAGTGAAGAAGAGTGCACGCAAAGACAAAAGACACTTCTACGACACATTGGCAAGTGAAGCAGAACAGGCTGCAGGTAAGAGAGACCTGACGACATTGTATCAAATAACCAGGTTGCTATCAGGGAAGAGACCAACACAGATGAAACCAATAAAAGATGAAGAAGGAAATTTAATTACAAAAGAAGAGAAACAGAGGAAACGATGGGCCGACCACTTCAAGAAGCTCTTGAATCGACCACCACCTGCACTTCGTCCAGAAATACCACCTGCAGCCGCTGAATTACAAGTGAACATTAATCCCCCAACGAAAATGGAAGTCCTGAACGCCATAAAGCTACTGAAATGCGGGAAAGCAGCAGGACCAGATGGAATACCGCCAGAAGCACTGAGAACAGATGCAGAGACAACAGCGGACATGCTCACACCACTATTGCAGAAGGTGTGGAAGGAAGAGAAGGTACCTGACGATTGGAAGAAGGGTTACCTTGTCAAACTGCCGAAGAAGGGAGACCTCAGTGCTTGCAAGAACTGGCGCGGAATCACTCTCCTGTCCACCCAACAAGTAAAATATTAAGCCGCATCATCCTGGAGAGGCTTAAAGATGCACTGGATTCAAAACTGCGACCGGAACAGGCAGGCTTCAGGAAGTACAAATCATGTGCTGACCAAATTGCAACGCTTCGTATCATCATAGAACAGAGCGTAGAATGGCAATCAGCTCTATACCTCAACTTCATCGACTTTGAGAAGGCCTTTGACAGCGTCGACCGAGAAGTAATTTGGAAACTGCTTCAATACTACGGAGTACCGCAAACCTTTATCCGCCTCATTCAACAACTATATGAAGATGCCACATGCCAAGTAATCCACAATGGGAAGCTCAGTGATGCCTTTGAAGTGAAGACAGGAGTGAAACAAGGTTGCCTACTATCCCCCATGATATTCCTTATTGTGGTGGACTGGATCATGCAGCAAACAGTAGGCAGCGAGAAGAGGGGGATACACTGGACGACGGAAAAGAACCTAGAAGACTTGGATTTCGCCGATGACTTATGCCTAATGTCACATAAACTTGAAGATCTGCAGGCAAAAACTAACAAGTTGACAGAAGAGGCAGCTAAGACGGGACTTCAGGTGAATATAGAGAAGACAGAAGTGATGAAGATACCGCACCACCACCATCAACAACAACAACAAACTCCAATCACCGTCAACGGGAGAAACTTGAAGGAAGTAACCTCCTTCACTTATCTAGGAAGCACTGTTTCAACTACAGGCGGGACGGACGAGGACGTCAAAGTCAGAATCGGAAAAGCAAGACAGGCGTTCATTAGCCTGAAACCAGTGTGGAGATCTTCTGCACTCAGCATGCGGAACAAGATACGGATTTTCAACACCAACGTCAAGTCAGTGCTCTTGTATGGCTCAGAGACTTGGCGCGTCACGAAAGGCATTTCCAATAAACTACAGACATTCATCAACAACTGCTTACGCTCGCTGCTGAAGATCAGATGGCCAGAAAAAATAAGCAACAAGGAACTCTGGGAACGAACCAACCAAGAACCTATCACGCAACAAATATGCAGGAAGAAGTGGAGATGGATTGGCCATGCACTGAGAAGGCCGACTGAGGACATCACGCGTCAGGCCCTCGAGTGGAATCCCCATGGGAAGCGACGAGTTGGACGTCCGAGGGTGACATGGAGGAGGTCATGCGAGG